TGTCTACCCTGCTCTCTGTGTAGTTCCAGAAACTAGAACACTGTCTCATATATAGAAGGTACTCAATATCCTTTCTTCAGGGAATGAATATATATCTTCAAAGACTAATGTTAACTGAAATAATTTAAACCAAAATATTCCTTACTTCCTCTTTTTGTAAGGAACCTCACCTTTCATGGAGTTCTAGTGTCACATAATTATAGACAATGCTGTTTATTCTTTACTGTTCCCACTTCACAGCTTCCAGAGTATGAAAGGAGTCCTATAATCCATTATAGAAAGAAAAGCTTTGAGAAAAACATTGAAAAATCAGATTATGGTTAGTAACCTTGATAAAGTGAAAGGAAGTCATATATTTTACCAATTACATATATTTTAACTGTTTAAAAAACTTTAATAAAAACATTCAGGAACATATTAAATTTTAACTTATAGGTCACTGTCAACATACTGAGTTGTCCTGTTGATAACTTTAACTGATTTTTGGCAAAAAAATCTCACAAGAAAGGCTTAACTATTTATGCATAGTTTTGAACTTTTTGTAAATGTAGTGTTATATGTAATTCATGAAACTTAAAAAAATTACTTTGTTTTTAAAGTAATTGGCTTTCTTATAGTTGAAGGAAGGGTAAATTAATTGTTTCTTCTTCATCCTAGTAAATGATTTTTCTTGAATATTTATAGCCTTGGAATGTAAGTTCCACAGAATGTTAATCTTATTGATAGAATGTAAAACTATATATAGTCTTTTTCCCAAAAAAGTTTCTATATCTTCTTTGGCTGAAGTTGGCTAAGTGGTCTTTAGGCAAAATAATCTGGGTAAAATTAAGAGTTGAGTAAGTAAGAAGGGAATCTAATCAATAAGGACTGATTTTGCATAATTCAGGCTTCCTTTTTCTTAATTTCAGATATATGGGCCAGAGGATTTTAAATTACATAACAGTTTCTAAAATGCACCCTATTTATACAAAGTCTCCTTCTGCTTTATTGACTGCGCCAAAGCCTTTGACCATGTGGATCACAACAAACTGGAAAATTCTTAAAGAGATAGAAATACAAGACCACCTTACTCTGCCTCCTGAGAAATCTGTATGCAGGTCAGGAAGCAACAGTTAGAACTGGACATGGAACAACAGACTGGTTCCAAATTAGGAAAGGAGTATGTCAAAGCTGTATATTGTCACCCTGCTTGTTTAACTTATATGCAGAGTACATCATGAGAAACGCTGGGCTGGAGGAAGCACAAGCTGGAATCAAGGTCGCCAGGAGAAATATCAATAACCTCAGATATGCAGATGACACCACCCTTACGGCAGAAAGTGAAGAAGAACTAAAGAGCCTCTTGATGAAAGTGAAAGGAAACTAAGATCATGTCATCTGGTCCCATCACTTCATGGCAAATAGATGGGGAAACAATGGATGCAGTGACAGACTTTATTTTGGGGGGCTCAAAAATGACTGCAGATTGTGATTGCAGCCATGAAATTAAAAGATGCTTGATCCTTGGAAGAAAAGCTGTGACCAACCTAGACAGCATATTAAAAACAGAGACATTTCTTTGCCAGCAAAGGTCTGTCTAGTCAAAGGTATAGTTTTTCCAGTGGTCATATATGGATGTGAGAGTTAGACTATAAAGAAAGCTGAGAGCTGAAGAATTGATGCCTTTGAACTGTGGTGTTGGAGAAGACTCCTGAGAGTCCCTTGAACTGCAAGGAGATCCAACCAGTCCATCTGAAAGGAAATCAGTCCTGAAATTCATTGTAAGGACTGATGCTGAAGCTGAAACTCCAATATTTTGGCCATCTGATGCAAAGAACTGACTCATTTGAAAAGCCCCTGATGCTGGGAAAGATTGAAGGCAGGAGGAGAAGGGGACGACAGAGGATGAGATGGTTGGATGGCATCATCGACTCAATGGACATGAGTTTGAGTAAACTCCGGGAGGTGGTGATGGACAGGGGGGCCTGGCGTGCAGTCAGTCCATGCAGTTGCAAAGAGTCGGACACGACTGAGCAACTGAAGTGAACTGAAGGATGACTTTAATGACTGTAGTTGTGTGTGTGTGTGTGTGTGTGTGTGTGCGTGCGTGTACTTGTGTGTATAGAACCTTAAAAAGTATGTGATGGAAACTTCTGGTAGATTTTAAATTTCCAGTTAATTTGTGTTCAACATATGTGTAACATATCAATATTTTGCTTTCGAAACGAGACCTCTCTTGGACTTTGATAATCGAAGCATCTATTGCAATATTCAGAAATGCCCCCAATGTTAACTGGGATGTTCAATTATGCAGTCTCTGTCAGAGCAGCTGCTAAAGGTGCTTCTGCATGGTTAGAGGGCCTCCTGTTGTCAGTCTGTGAGAGCAATGAGATTTTGCTTGAAGGGAACAAGAGAAAGCTGAAGGCTGTGGGTAAGTTGTAATGAGCAGGCAGTGGACTCCAGCAGACTTTCCTGTGGGTGGATCCTCTCTTCTGCCCTGTGTGTGAGCGTGCTGTGTTGCATGTCAGCTGATGTTGAGCTGGGACAGAACTGAGTTGGGAGGGTGTGGCTCTGGAGGGTTCTGAAATCCAAGAACAAGCTTCCTTTCCCACCACTCTCCGCTGAGTCGGTTCACTGCCGAGTGCCCTGCAGGAGCTAGAGGCCTTTGTGTTCAGGTTATTTAACTAGCTTCTAAGGCCACACCCTTGGCTACACAAACAGAACACTTTGTGCTTCAGGAGGGGAGGTCCTACTTTGACCACAGCCCTGGGATTTCAAAGCTGCCTAGCTGAGCCTTGCCTATTGTGATGTAAAGTTCAGGCCAGTGAGGATCTCCAGGTCACAATGCAGACTTAGAAGTGTTGGCCAGTGGAGGCTTTGAACAATGATTGATTATGTCACTTAAAACAGGCTCAGAAATCCATTTATTACACACCCCAAACTGAAAAAGTACAGTGACAGAGAGAAATGGAATGTCATCTGAGAAAAATCCATACTTTTTTTTTTAACAACACAGTAGCATTTTACAGGGCTTCCCTGGTGGCTCAGTGGTAATAAGTCTGCCTGCCAGTGCAGGAGACACAAGAGACACAGGTTCAATCCCTGGGTGGGGAAGATCCCCTGGAGAAGGAAATGGCAACCCACTCCAGTACTCTTGCCTGGGAAATCCCCTAGACAGAGGAGCCTGGCATACTACACTCCATGGGGTTGCAAGAGTCGAAAATGACTGAGTGACTAAACAACAACAAATCATTTATAGCAAATGCCCATTTATACATGATCAGATAGTAAATGATCTGTTAGTCTAAACAGGCATCTGTAGAGCAGAGTAGGGCAGTGGAAGGAGGGTTGAGTTTATAGACTGAGCTACAGCTGGAGGTATCCATTTCCTCTTTCCCAGCAGATCAACAATCATGAGATGTTAGTCGCATTCCTATTCTTCATTGGTGTGTTCCAGGTTCAAATGCCTCTCATGTAGTATTACATTTTGAACCCAATACACAATTACTTCTGGTTTAATGGAGATTACAGGCACTATGCTAAATGCTTTGTTTATTTTCTCATTTAATTCTCAGCCTAACTTTATGAAGTTACTTCTGTAATCCACTTTTCATGAATAAGGAAAAAGCAGCTTAGACGTCTTAAGTCTCTAAACATGGTCACTCAGTTAATATTGGGAAAAACTAGGGTTCCAACAAAGCCTGGTGGAGTCCAGAGGTCAAAATCTTAACCACTGAGAAATTCAGCCCATTAATTATACCAGCCTTTGCATGAAGGAGGGCTTGGGGTGGGCTGGCAGTCTGGTTTGGTCACATCAGGGCCAGAGGACTTGCTGTTGAATGGTTGGCTTAGAGGGCACAAAATTTTTATTTGGATTTGATGTTTATGGGGTATGTTGATAAATATCAAGTGCTAGTAGACACTTACCACTTCTCCCCTTGGCCTAGCTAGCCCTCTCCCCCTGCCCTTGAGAATCACCATTGCCTCTTTTATACCTTCACAGACTTCATACCTTCATATTGTTGTTCAGTCACTAAGTCATGTCCGACTATTTGCGACCCCATGGACTGTTGCCCGCCAGGCTTCTCTGTCCATGGGGTTTTCCAAGCAAGAATACTGGAGTATATTGCCACTTCATACTCCAGGCAATCTTCTCAACCCGGGGATCAAACCGACATCTCCTGCTTGGCAAGCAGATTCTTTACCAACCGAGCCACCTTGGAAGCCCCATAAAGCAATTGGGGATATCATTTTTGTTCCAGCCAAGCAGATCTTATTATTAAATTCTCCCATTTTACTATCAGACCCCTCTCTTTGAAATGGACATTCACTATCATCTATCAAGCTATGTCCTAACACTTCTGCAAAGTGAATCTCATAAACATTTTATTATTGACATTTTTCCTAAAGTCTCACAAAGTTCATTATTGACATTTTTCTAAAGCCTCACAATTAAACCAATCCTATCAAGTTTCAATCTTTACATGAAATATTGTTCAGCAACCTATCCTGCCTTTTTAAAAATAAAACCGAACTGGGTCTGTTTGAGGCATTTAAAAAAAATTTTGATTTCCATATGCTTGTGTTTTTACTTTTTAATTTTGATATGATTTTCATATCAGTCCCCGAACAGTACAAATATCATTTATTTGCTGAACCCTCAAACTGAATACAAATAATTCTAAGAAGGGTTTTTTTTTCATTTAATTTTTTTAGTAAGAGCGAGCTGATGTGATCACTCCTTCTGGAAACACTATTCTTGTGGCTTCTGTGGCAGCTCAGTTATCTGAGTGTCTTTCTGTCTCCTTTGTAGCTTCTCTTCTTTGCTAGTCTCTCCTCCTCTATTAAACTGCTAAGTGCTGGATTACTTACATTTGACCTTGGTTTCTCTTCTCCATCCCTTTCTAATTTCATCTAGCCCCCTAGATTTGAAAAAACATCTCTACACTGATGAATCTAACATTTTCATCTTTGGTCCTGACATCTCCTCTAGTTCCAGTGTCTCATTCATCCCTCCTTTCATGTGGATAGTAACAGTGTTTGTCACATGGGCAAAGAAGGACTTTAAATTTTCTCTCAAAGCTATTTCTCTCCCAGTCTTGTCCATCCTAGTTAATCAAACCACCGTTTACCCTGTTGGTCATACTATTTCATGGTCTTTTTTCTTTTTTTGTCCTGCATCTCTCCACATTTCTTCCATCTTTTTCTTTCTCTACAGACTAGTCTACAGATTAGCCCCCCAGTCCCCTTCCCCCTCCACCCCCCACTGTATCTTACTTCTTATTACTGTTGTTGACATCCAGAAGAGAGAGACTGAGACTTCTGAATCCCAGCTCTAGGAAACAGGGTAAGCTTGTCCTGAACAGCCTCTCTGGGACTGCGGTCTTGGTCTATAATTAGGCTCCAGCCCTGGTCATGAGTAAGACAGTTTTTAGGGAAGGGGGTTGGTGATATGTGGGTTGGGCAGACATTCTAGTAATGTATACTATATACTCTTAACCAAATTTTCGATAAGTTTTATATTCGTTATCCCTTTGACTTGAACATTCATGTAAAGACTCAGAAAGGATCATGCGTTTATCAGAAATGATTATAGTCGACTTTTTATTTCCTGCTTCATCATTTCTTTTTGTTTCCTTATTGATTAACAACAAACGTGCACTGTATGATTTCCCAACCTTCCTTGATGTAAGCTCTTTCACTCACCTCAGCAAGTTTTGTTTTATTTCTCCCTTGAATGCACATGCCTAGTTTAGACAGCCAGCTCTTTAGAGGTAGGAGTAATAGTGATTAAGTACCCTTGAATTCAACTAGAATCTGTTATGTTGATTTAATTATAATCTTTATAATATGATCCTAAGTAATTGTGGAAAACATACACACCTATAGGAATTTCCTAAAAGGGAAGAAATCTAGTGTGAGGAAAAAATACAGTGAATACTCTTAATTTTGATAATTCAGTTAAAGTCTGATGGATGGTATTTACCTTTCCTTTGGCTGGTCAGGATCTTGATCCATATGAAATCAATGCATCACAGAAGGAAAAGCCAGATTGTACACTGTGATTAATCTGTTCTTCTAAAAGAAAGTGGCACTCATGCCATAAAAGAGGCGGAAGAGACTCTGTCTTCAGGAACTAGAATTATTCATGTTATTCCTGACCTCATCAGTCCCCCAATAGTAATTTTTAAATGGAAATTTACTGTTTGTTTTTTTTTTGCTGGGATGGGCCTTCCTGTCTAGCGATACAGCTACTTCCATTTCATAATTACGTGTTATGGAAATTCCCTTTGAGAAGAATTACTTAAGAAAATTGTGCAACATTTCTCTCTAAACTTCTTAATATATATGTCACAATAATAATAAATGGTGTGAAATTGTTTCTCTGAAACATTGTTACCATTAGAAAGAAATTAAAGTTTTAGTAGTCTATTGCTTCACCAAATAAATATCATCCTTGTCATTTTCATGAATTGATTTTTGTCTATTTGACAACAGAATTCTTCACATGAGAGCTAAATTGTTTTGATTATACAAAATGTCACAATATGAAAGATGGAACAACTGTAATTTCCTCACCATTCCTCCTTTATCTGACCCAAATTATATACCAAAACTAATAAAAACCAGTCCTTGGATAATGGAGATAATTCACAAACAAATGAAAGGTAGAAAATAAAAAAAGAAAAAAAAAGAATAAGACATAAAATATATTTCATTGTAGATAAAATCCATTTATCCATTCATGAATCATTCAGTTCAGTTCAGTTCAGCTGCTCAGTTGTGTCTGACTCTTTGCGACCCCATGAACCACAGCATGCCAGGCCTCCCTGTCCATCACCAACTCCCAGAGTTTACCCAAACTCATGTCCATTGAGTCGGAGATGCCATCCAACCATCCCATCCTCTGTTGTCCCCTTCTCCTCCTGCCTTCAATCTTTCCCAGCATCAGGGTCATATTGCCACCCATTTTCCACCAAATGGATAAAAAGATCTTTTTAGAATAATGGAGACAATGGGGAAGATTCAGATTTGGGTCCCTGCTCTACCATCTTCCTTGTCTTCTTCTATTGCTACTCCCTTGTTGAAAAAAATGGGGAAGAGTTGCTGATAAAGCTTCAGAATTTCCCCCAGAAGGAGAGAATAATAAATTCTTCTCTGAACACTTGCTTTGGATAAAGAGTTCTATGGTCAGATGAGTTTGAGGATCACCATTTCTACACACACTCCATCCGTAATTACAGCCATGGCCCAGTGCTGGTCCCATTCAGCTGGTCACCTTTGTAACACATCCTCCTGGAGGTTGTGCAGGCAATTCAAACTCCAGAATCGAAGTCATGTTTTTTTTCTCTCCACATCTGCTTTCCTCCATTCATCTCCTGCCAGTCCCCCTTTGCCCAAGTCAGAAATGGTATTCACCCTCTATACCTCTCCCTTTGTCACCAATCCTAACTCCTGCCTCCTGGATCAAAGTCATCTAGTTCTGTTTTTTTTTTTTTAATTCTTTTTATTACAGGTTATTACAAGATATTGACTATCGTTCTCTGTGCTATACAGTAGGACCTTGTTGTTTATCTATTTTATATGTATAATACTTTGTTAATCCCAAGCTCCTAATTTATTCTCCTACCCTTCTGCTTTGGTAACCGGAAGTGTGATTTCTTTGTCTGTGTATTTCATGCCTTTCTGCTCTCTCTGACACACCCTCTTTGCCTTTGTTGTCAATCAGGCCACTGTCTGCTCGCTTGGTTGACCTGCATTTATTCTCCTCCCTCAATTCATCCGTTACACTGTTGACATAGATTTCCTACACAAGTCTGCCCCAGGAGCCCCTCTACTTAAAATATTTAAATTGTTCCTCTTCAAGATAAAGTTCCTAACTCACTCTTTGTACTTAGAACCCCTCTCTCCCTTACCTGAACTCGGGGCTCCCTGAGATCCCTGAAGTTGATGCTCTGTTTTTCCATCAGTGTCAACACGTGCTGTTCTACTGAAAACACCCCTTCCTTGTGTGATTGGCCAATTCCTTCTCCTATAAGAGTTGGCTCATCAGTAACCTTTGCCTCCACCTATCTGAATTACGTGCTCCTCCTTCATGCTCCCTAAAAGTCTAGTCCATAACTCAGACGTAACACTAAAAGACAGTGTGATACTTATCCCTGAAAGAGTATTGCCTCTGGAGTCACACAGGTCTGGGCTTGAATTATGGGTTTACTGTTTTATTACAAATAAACACAGAAATATAGTTAGGGAGTTTGAGATGGATATGTACACACTGCTATACTTAAAATGGGTAACAAACAAGGACCTACTGTATAGCACAGGGAACTCTGATCAATGTTATGTGGCAGCCTGGATGGGAGGGGAGTTTGGGGGAGAGTGGATAATGTATATATATGGCTGAGTCCCTTTGCTGTTCGCCTGAAACTACCGCAACATTGTTAATCAGCTGTGCTCCAATACAAAATAAAAAGTCAAAAAACAAAACACAACCTAGAAATGTATTTTAACCTCAATATATACATATATTTTCACCTGAAATTGGTTATACTAATTCTTGTCATATCGAGTCTATATAAGTTTAAAATAAAGTATATAAAGTATAAAAATAGTACCTGATACAATATGATGGATAAAGTTGGAGCTGCCCCATAACCATGATTACATTGTATTCTCCTTGGGGTTCTCAGGGCCAGGAGCAGAATTGGCCCTCAGAAATGCTGGCAAGATATCAGCATCTGACACTGTTGCCAACTTTCTCTTAAAATAGACTCTTTTATCTTGGATTTCCTGACACAGTTCTCCTCCATGTTCCTTTTATCTTTCTGGCTGCTCTTCTTCCCCTATATTTTGTTGGAGGTCTTCATATATGAAGGGGAGGGAAAACTTTTTCCCTGCCCTCTTAGACTTAGTCTCAGAGGCATGCAAGTTAAATTGACAGGGGCAGATTTCCAGGAGAAAAGGCATAACATTTTATTTTTAATTTTACATGTCTGGGGGCCCCATAGAAAACAAGAGAAAACCCAAAGAAGCAGACTTGGGGGCTTATATATCATTTTAACAAAGGACGATAAACTGTGGAAAGGTGACTAGGAAACGTATGATAAATAGGGTTGTTTCTTAAGGTTTGTTATGTAGACTCTGAGAAGTTCTTCAAGTGAGTCTTGGAAAAATTGCAGTTGAAAATTTTGGCCTTAGATATTTCACAGTGGTTTTAATTACCACGCATTTGCTAAGGATTTTCAAATCTATGTCCCCATCCCAGACCACCGTGTTCTTGGGCTTCTCATCTATTTAGCCATCAGCTTCTTTGGCAATTCCCTTTGGAAGTTTTCAGGCAACATGTTCAAAAGAGAATTTTTCATATTCCTCTACTAAGTGTTTCTTATCTTAAAGGAAGGAACATCTACTCAAACGCTCAAACCTCAAGGCAGCCTTCTCCTCCCACTTCACTTCCTCAGCTCCAGCTCCAGAATTTGTGTACTTTGAATCTTTACACTTCTTTCTAATCTCATCGCTACACTCCCTGGTCTAAGCCTCAATTATCTTTTATCTGAATTTCTATAACAGGCTTCTAACTAATCTGTATTCACAGCAGATAGTAATAAAGGCTGACTTCAGGATTCAAAATCTCTGCTTGTCATCACTTTGCTTAGCCTCAGTTTCCTTTTCTATGAGATGAGGATAAAATAGTACTTCCCTCAAAGGGTTTTCCTTAGGGTTACATAAAGTAATCTTGTGTAAAGCTCTTTGTACAGTTGCACACGCAGGAAGCTCCCAGTAAGGCTCAGTTGTGTGATGATCCACTGCTACCCTCTTCAATGCATCAGCCACCCAACATTAGTGTTTAAGGCAAATCAAATCACGTTTCTATTAAAAACTCTGAAGTGGCTTTGTGACATCTTTAGAATATTGACCTTTATAAAGGTAGCATGACTATGATGTGTCTAGTCATAGTCTAAAGTTCCAAAGCCATCTTTCAAAATCCTTCCTTTTTTAAAAAAAAATAAACTTTTTCATTGTGGAAAATTTGAAACATACACAAAAGTGGAAGGAGAAGTGTAATAAAACCCTGTGAATCCATCCACCAATTATCTTCAGGAATTATTAACACATGGCCAGTCTCATCTCATCTATATCAGTGTCTTGTCCTCTCATTTTTTTTTAATACAGTAGGTCCTTATTGGTTGTTTATTTTAAATATAGCAGTGTGTACCCTTCCTTTTTTATTTTTTTCTGCCAGCAGTTTTGGATTTCTTCCATTACATAAATGCCTTTCCTTTGTATGCAGTCTTGCACACTTACACAATTCTTTCTTTTCTGGCTTATAGTTCTGTCA